TGGCCTCCTACCCAAAAGCGATGGCCTCCTACCCAAAAGCGATGGCCGCCTACCCAAAAGCGAGGCCTCCAACCTAAGAGCGATGGCCTCCAACCTGAGAGCGATGGCCTCCTACCCAAAAGCGATGGCCTCCAACCTAAGAGCGATGGCCTCCAACCTAAGAGCGATGGCCTCCTACCCAAAAGCGATGGCCGCCTACCCAAAAGCGATGGCCTCCTACTTAAAAGTGATGGCCTCCACTCCTCCACCTTGACATTTGCAAGGAACATGGTGTACTGGAGAAGTTCTATCTGGCACGTGCTTCCTGTGCATCCCCACCAGCCTTGAGCACCGGCAAGCCACCGGCCCCCCTGGTTGATGTTAGCTTTACACCTCGACTGGAATACAAACGACAAGAAGATGATCAGAAAAGGCATGTCGGAAGCGATCAAAACTTCAGAAAAAGTGTTCCTCTTTCTTTTCTCAGCGAAGCAAGCAGAAGTTCCTATTCTGTTGCATCAACCATTGAAAGATGTTGGGGGAGGCCATCCCTATTAAGTTTGAAGCCATCGCTAGTAGGTTGGAGGCCATCGCTAGTAGTTGGAGGCCATTGCATCAACCATTGAAAGATGCTTAATGTGTTCTGTGGACAAGTCGATTTAGACTACTGGACTACTTGCGAGAGTACCGCAGGGCCTTTGCTCTTGGCCGTTTCAAACCCATCCAACTCTTCCGAAGTACACTAGGTCAAAAACCAAAATGTATCGTCCTGTATTTCTGTCTTTTCTCTGCTCTGTTCTGTTCTTTTCGTTCTTCTCAAACCTTCTCTTCTGTTCTGTTCTCCGATTTTCCCTTTCTTCACTTGGGGCCTTGGGTCAATTTTGGATCACCCATTGCCTGGGAGCCACACCAGCTCGTCGAGCAATGCCCGAAGAGTTGCTAGAGAGAGCTTGCGCCATCTGGAATACAGAAAGAAGATCTTGTCTATCAACGTTTCAGGGTGTTCCTCCGTGCATGTCATTCTACTTGGAAGCGTGGTTTGCTGCACCTCCTCATTGGGCATGGCCAACTGAAGGGTTAAGGTGCCCAAGTCCGCTCCAGGTCCATTCAGTCCTGTAGAGGAAAAGCAACAAGCGACGGGAGAGAGGTTTCACCGTTCAGATCCGTCTGTTACTACTACTAGTAAGGCACTTGTTACTAGAAGCGATGCACTTGTTACTAGTAGCTTCTTGTTCCTAGTAGTAGGGCCAGGAGTCCCTAGTAGCTTCTTGTTACTACTAGTAAGGCACTTGTTACTAGAAGCGATGCACTTGTTACTAGTAGCTTCTTGTTCCTAGTAGTAGGGCCAGGAGTCCCTAGTAGCTTCTTGTTACTGCTAGTAAGGCACTTGTTACTAGTAGCAAGAAGCTACTAGTAGCGATGCACTTGTTACTAGTAGTGTCTTGCTACTAGAAGTAATGCCAGGAGCGCCCCTAATAGCTTCTTAGCTACTGGTAGCTTCAATTGAGCAAGCTCAGAGGGTCTCCTGGAGCCATTCTCGCTCCTGACAGGGCACCTGCGGTGAACCGCTCTTTCGTGACTTGACTCATTCTCTCTCAATGACTCTTTTGCATCAATGACTCTCTCCCCAACTGGCAGGATGACTGAGAAAGGCCTGCGAGTCCCATGCCAAGGCCAGCCATGCCACCCATGCCAGCCGGCCCAGCGCCAGCCATGCCTTCTCGCTCGCACACTCAATGATCTTTCACATGTCAAAGTAACGGGCCGTAACGGGCCTCTGGTGAGTGGTGCACCTTAGGACACTGGATGGACACTGGAAAGGCCACGTCCTTGTTCCTAGTAGTAAGGCCAGGAGCCCCGAACGTAGCGTCCTTTCTCCTAGTAGCGATGCCAGGAGCTACTAGTAGCGTTCTTGCTCCTAGTAGCTTCTTGCCCGGTCAAATTTCAGATTCGTGTTGATGCTCCATTTGGGTGACAAATTCTTGGAGTGTCATACAGCCCATACGGCTTGAAGTGTTTGTGCATTCAGTCTGGCAAGTGCCTTCCATTGAAGGTACTCTACTATCGTTTCAAGGAACGCTCGGAAACTGAGCAAGTAGCTTGAAGGTGCCTCGCGATTGCCGCGATTCTCCAGGGCACTATGAACTTGCCGGACGACCTCCGCCAATGTCTAAGCGTACAATGCCAGAGTATTCTTCACTTAGTAGCAATCCAACCTAGTAGCAATGGCCTCCAACCTATATACTAGTGATGGCCTCCAACCTACTCTTCGCTTATCTTCCAACCAAATGGAGTCAAAGCCGAGAGTTTCTGCCCCGTTCACCACATCTGAGTGTCAAGCCTCCACTCTTTGGGAGATGTCGCCCTTGATCTCCATCAGCCGAAAGCGATAGTCCCCATCCTATCAGTAGCTTCTTGTTACTAGTAGTAAGGCACTTGTTACTAGAAGCGATGCACTTGTTACTAGTAGCTTCTTGTTCCTAGTAGTAGGGCCAGGAGTCCCTAGTAGCTTCTTGTTACTACTAGTAAGGCACTTGTTACTAGAAGCGATGCACTTGTTACTAGTAGCTTCTTGTTACTAGTAGTAAGGCCAGGAGCCCCGAACGTAGCGTCCGATCGCTCCGTTCGTAGCGATGCCCGAAATGCTCCGTTCGTAGCGTTCAACGCGTTCAACGCTTTCGGGCATCAACGGTCCAAGATCTCAAGCCGCAAAGAAGGCCGTCTTGTCTTCATACTTGCATCTTCAGACCGCATGTGCATGTTTATTGTTCTCTTTAGGCCTTGCATCTTCAGACCCCTTTCTTTCTTTTCGTTGTCCGCCTGTTTTCCTTTTCTTTGCTTGCTTTGTTGTAGTCATAAGGGATAGTCAAGCCCAGAGCTCAGGCTCTTCAGAAGGGGGGAAGTTGAAGGAACCTGGCTTGCTTCCCCATCCTCGAAGTTCCTTAACCGGTGTCTACCACACAGGACGCCCCATCGCAAAGATTGTGACTAAGAATGAAAGCAAACAAAAGACAGGTCAAAAGTTCAATAAAGGTCTAAAGAAAAAAGTACTTTCAAATGAAAAAAAGGCGGAAGAAGAAGATTTGGCTCCATCGGCACCTCCAGCTGCTCAGCTTTGTGCTGTTGGACCTGACACCATCCCGTGAATCCCCCCCAGCTCGCTTCATCCGAAAAGCGGGAGCTGATTCTCGTTGCATGAGACGTATGTTGTCTTCCGACTGTGGTGCACAGAAGAAAATCCTACACATGCCTTGATAGCAAAGACCGCATATGTTGCAAACAGAATTGAAAATAGACTGAAAAGCTTGCAGCTCTCATCCATGAGGCGGCAAATGGATTGAATAATTCTGATTGAATATTGAATGGTTTCAATCCGATCAAACCCTTACCAAACAGAAAGGACGTTTTGCCCGTGCCGAAGGGACGTAAGGGACGTCCAACATTTGTGCCATTTGCATCCGGTCTTTCTTTTGCCGGCGAGCCACTCCACTAATTACGCAGAAGAATGAGTGGCTCGGGTTACCCCACAAAGTGTGATCAATTCGACCAGCTTCGAAGATCTTATCGTAACAGACTCTTTATGATGATTTCTGTATTCTTTACTTAGTGTTCTTACATGTTCTTACTCTCTAGTTTTTGGTAACCCAATTTCTCACCACTTGGTTTTTGTGAGACAGGCTTCGCATCGCCCCCCCGATTAGGGAGGCCGTGCTGGGACATGCCGCCTCGACGGCGGCGTGGAACAGCTGCGAAAAGAACCAATTGTGCAAAGCGAAAAAGTTCCGTTCGTAGTGTCCTTTGCTCCTAGTAAGGCCAGGAGCCCCTAGTAGCGTTCTTGCTCCTAGTAACGATGCCCTTTGCTCCGTTCGTAGCGTCCTCTACCGATTGACTTTGCCTAAGGGATCCTACAATACACGCTGTAACTGTAAGAAGTTGTTGAAAGAAGATGAATGTGAGGGTCACCCTGTTCTTGTGATCGAGATGTTCAGATTCAGATTTTCAGCTCCATTGAGCTGTTGTAGATTCTAAATGTGCATTTGACGGGCTTTCGGCTGCAGGCCGGCCCCATTTTGTAAGGTGTCGCTCGGAACTTTAAGCCGTCGGAGCACACAGCAATTTATAGACTGGGCCTGCAAACAGTTTCGGATCAAATTCAGCATCTTCCAGCACAGAAACCCGAAACGTCTTGTCTTGCGACGATGTCTCTTCACAATCAATGCTGTCTGACCCAATAGCAAAGGCCATCAAAGCCCCCTTTTTCGGGGGCTTCCTTCATACAACTCCAGCGCACATAGGGCGCTCGAAGATGTGCTCGAGGGTCGCCGCCACTCAACTGAAGAGGGACACCGATACACCAGGATTCTTCACCTCAGTAAGGGGGCAATCGACGAAAGACCAGGCCGTTTCTGTAGATTCTTTGGACATGTAATTGATCTTTTCTCTTTAGATCTGTTCTTTTTGGCTGGCCAAAGCACCACGATTGCAAGATGACCCGGAACCGGTCTTCTGTCGAATCCCATGGCGCTTGCTACCTTACAAACAGCGCGTGCTTCGTAACCAGGAAAGTGCTACACCCACAGCAAGTCTTCCAAAGCTACCTCTTGCCGACTCGTACCTACCTCAAGTGTGAGCACATATCCGGAAGCCGTCTTCAAATTCTTTGTTCCCGCCTCTTTATAGCTGACACTGGCTGAACATTCTGTGCCAGTCTTCGCCCACAACGTAAAGGTCAAGGAGTGCAATTCCATGTTGTTTACGACCTGGCACGGGCGGCACCAACCACCTATCAACCCTATGCAAAGGCAAAGCAGAAAAGCACAAACGTCAGCGTTGTCCTTTCAAACAAGATGTGCTTAGAGGTACTCAAAGAAGCAAGCACATTATCTTGACTTAAATAAAAGAAACTAGGGAAGAAGGAGGTCCTCCAAAGAGACAGCTACAGGCAGCTATTCACAAACGGCCCACAAGCTACGAGTCGCCTTTTTGATCCTGTCAGACCCTACAGAATGCGAGGAATGCGGTTCCACCCCATGGCCTCCGTACTTCTAGCGATGGCCTCCAACCTACTAGCCTTCTTGCTCCTAGTAGCGATGCCAGGAGCCCCTAGTAGCTTCTTGCTCCTTGTAGTAAGGCCAGGCGCCCCTAGTAGTGTCCTTGCTCCTAGAAGAGATGGCCTCGGATGGGGATATGATCTTGCGATAGATCAATTTAATGCGGCAGGCAATGTGATGTGTGGCACAATGTGTGGTACATGATGGTTTGTGCTTGATGAAGCGTAGAATCTGCTGCCGGACAGGTTCGGCAAACATGATGTCGCAAAAGGTATCTTTGCTTTCATGGCCTTCCTTATTCACATGTAAGTCCAATTGCTGTTTGCATCTTGGAAGTTGTGAGCTAAAGCACCTTTACACGAGATCATGCTTCATCTAGGGCAAAAGGTGCACTAAGATTACCCAAATGTCGTCTCCTTTTTTGAAACGAGGGCGGATATTTCCGCCGGTTCCGCCTCCAAAATGTCTCCAAGCTCAATCTGCGGCAATGAAGCAGCAATCCGTGTCACCCGCTGGTTAATCCGGCTGCAAATGCGTCCTGTGCGGTTTAAGAACCTTGGAGCAACAAGAAATCCAGCGGGAATTGATATCTATTGAATCTTTTGATAAATGTCGCTCAGAAAATATAAATAGGTCGAAATTGGAACAAGCTTGTGATGCATCTGATACCAGTGCACGGTCTGTCATACACTTGTTAATACCCAAATTCTGTTCTTTCCATCGTGCACAACTTTAGTTGTTTAATGTTATTTAGATTTAGACTCTAGACACTTGCAGGCTATTGGAATCAAGCAAACTCCCAATCAATGTAGAATTGCTGCGAGAGTGGAATCAGTCACAAGAGTGAAGACTTCGGCATGCTGTGACTTACGTCTTACCGTCTTCCAGCTTACGTCTTCGCCCGAAGGCGGCAGTCACAGTAGTAACTACGTATACCCAGGATGTTGCCTTGATCACAGTTAGGACCCCAAAGTCTTCCAAGTACTCACATCGCTCTTAGGGTGGAGGCCATTGCCGTTAGGCTGGAGGCCATCACTATTAGGTTGGAGGCCATTGCTATTAGGTTGGAGGTCACTGCTATTAGTTTGGAGGCCATCCCTCTTAGGTTGGAGCCAATCCCTCTTACGTTGGAGGTATTGCTATTAGGTTGGAGCCCATGGCTACTAGGTTGGAGGCCATCGCTACTAGGTTGGAGGCTATCGCTATTACGTTGTAGGCCATCGCTATTAGCTTGGAGGCCATCGCTACTAGGTTGGAGGCCATCGCTAGTAGGTAGGAGGCCATCGCTATTATGTTGCAGGCCATCGCTACTAGGTTGGAGGCCAATGCTATTAGTTTGGAGGCCATCGCTATTAGGTTGGAGGCCATCGCTGGTCGGTTGGAGGCCACTGCAATTAGATCTCCGTCGATCGCCGTGGGACACGGAGATGATCTTCTGAATATCGGAGGACCGCGGCAGTCCAGAGGAGAAAATGATTCCGACGCCATCAGCGCGGCTAAGCTCACCAGAGGTGAAAGCCACAATATATCTCTCGGTACCTCAAAGGATTCAAACACCTGGTGGAAGCCGAAAGCTTTTCTGCGTTTGTTGGGCTCAGCTTCCCTGTAGAGTACTTAGCTTCCCACGACCTAGCTTCGACCTTGTTTTGCAAACATGTCTTTCTGCGCCCAACCACCCAGCCTTGCTGATGAACCCGGTCTTCAGACACTAAGGACAATCTTCGACCTTTATGGTTCTTCGTAAAGGCTCGATGATCCAAGGAAAAAGACTCCGCTTTGCCACGCGCGAGGAAGCGATGACTAGAAGTGAGGAGGCTCTCGGCCACGAAGCGTTCGGCCACAAAGCCGTCTCCACAGCATTCGCCTTCCGTCTCCACCAAGCCCGGAGGTCCCTTGGACCCCTTCAATTCAGAAAGATCACTTGGAAAGTAATACGCGGGCTCCTCAGGAAGATCTCTAAGAGCTTCCAAGAAAATAAGTCTGAGCAATCAGCAAATGGCGTCCATAAAGTAAAAAAAAACACACAAATATGGCCAGATATTCCAGCAACCTCAATGATTTCGCAACCCTTGTAAAAAGAATCACATGCACAACTCATCTTCTTTTTTTGGGCTCAAAGACACAGACACCATGTAAAGTGTGCCCTGATTTGACTTCGCTCCAGAAAAAAGTGGCTTCGTTAAGGATGCGGGTTAGGGAACTGGACAAAGGAACGGTCATTAAAGTTTAGGTTGTTTGCTGGGCAAGAAGACAAGGGAAATGGACAAGGAAGAGTAAGGTTAAGTCAAAAACACAAAGATGGCAACCGGAAAAAAAACAACAAACAGCATGGGAAAGAAGCAGGATAACAAAATTTAAGAAGGTAAAGAAAAGTCCAGGAAGCATAGGAAAAGAACCTGAAACACACTCAGTGTCTTGCGGAACTGGACAAAATTCGGAGTACAGGAAAAGTACTTCTCCCAAAAGATGCTGGCAAAAATGCAGTGAGTTGAAAGAAGGATACAACCAGATTTCTTTGGAACAACCAAGTCAGTCTAGGGATAATCAAAAGATTGAGCTTTTCTAGAGAAAAGCAACAGGACAAAAATGTTAAGAGAAAGAGAGTTTTCAAGAGAAAAGGGTGGCAAGACGGCAACTTTAAAAGAATAATGAAAACACTTGATAGACTTGAGGGAGGCAAGGAAACAAGTAGAGGTTTGTAGAGAAAGCAGAGTTTCAGAAAAGAAGAAATTCACTGGAAAAGTAGTTTGTAAGCTCAAGTTCTAGAAAAGGTCCACGGCTGCTCCCCCGGATTTTGGAAAATTTCAGCTTCGATGTTGTCGCTCTGTCACGAGGTTTGGGTGCTGTGCCAGGTGGTCCTGATCCCTACTAGGGATGGCCGCCAACCTACTCTTGATGGCCTCCAATGAACTAGCGATGGCCTCCATAGTTTCGTTTACAACCCTCTGGCTTTGCATTGCCAACTAAGTTGGAGGGTGCGTGGGTGTGTGTGTGTGTGTAGACCGCCAGAACAAGCGGCTGAGTTGTTCAAATGCTATTTATTTATAGCAGCATGTGCAGGGGGCCCATGGGCGCTTGGATGGCATGGGCCAACGAAGACCCATCCAAGTTGTCGTGAAAACGTACCTGCAAGCTCTGCACAACTGTTGAACTCTCCTTCAAGCTGTGACTCTACCCATACAGACTGTAGAGGGTATTGGAGGTGCGTTTCTTTGGCATTTACCGGCGGTGTTGTTCATGCGCACGACGGTCTTTGAAGGTCGTGGACTTAGGAGGTTATATACGGCAATTTTTATCATCACTCAAACGTTCCTCCACCTAACTCTTCCCAGTGTGTGTGTGTGTGCGTGGGGAGAGAGAGAGAGAGAGAGCTTGAAAGCTGGCAGCACGGTGCTGTGACACTGGCCACTGCAGGCAGCACACGCTAAAAACCAAAAGCGATAGGCCGAAACTTGCAAAGCGCAAGTTAGCCGAATGCCAAGGTCTGGAAACATCGTGTCATGAAGTTGATTTGCTGTTTATTCTGTGCTTTATGCTGGACGAGCAGGGCGTATTTACGCGAGCTTGGTAAGAGGAGGGCGTCCGAGATGAGGAACGGGTTGGTTTGAGCCTGAAGAGGAATTCAAAGAGCCGCGTGAACCCTGCAGGTTTTGTGATAAAGTTCGCTCAAGTCTGTGTGCGACATGAAATGACCAACATGTGGTGCTTGCACTCCTGGATGGAGATGGCAATCCCAAAAACCATCTGCAAAGCCTTGAGCAATCTCTGCGGGCCTTGCTGTTTCTGCACACCTCAAGCAAAGCTGACAGATGCACATTTGTCGGCACTGACGGCAAGACTATTTGGCATCTGATCCAATGCTGTGTACCAACAGGTGCCTTCAGAATCTTCCAAGAAAACAGCAAGAACTTTGTTGATTTTGTCGCTGAATGCTGTGTGGTGATCTCACTTCAACCGAGTTTCACTGCACAGCTAAAGGAGTCAGCCCAGCATTCAAGAGGACCATTAGCAACTCTTCGATGATCTCATCCTCTTCAAGAGCAAGACAACAGGGATCCCAGGGTTTTCCGGTTCTGGGAGCTGACGGTATCTGCGCTTCTTGAGCCCATCCCTCGAACTCAAAGCGCTCGCGGCTCGCCATGTCTCGTCACCGCATGTCACCCTGTGCCGCTCGGGATCCAACTGCATCTCGAGCCAAACGGCGACAACGAGAGGAATCTGATCCGAGGTATTCCAGGGTATTCCAGGTGCCAGGCGAAAAGACATGAAGTCATAACACGGAACATAAAGAGCTCAATTCCTAGTGGCGTTCTTGTTCCTAGTAGCGATGCCCTTTGCTCCTAGTAGCTTCTAGCTCCTAGTAGTAAGGCCAGGAGCCCCGAACGTAGCGTTCTTGCTACAAGTAGCGATTGGGCCATGAATTTTGCTGGAGCGAAGCGCTTCGACACCATGGCATTGCCGCATGACACACGCGCGCATCGACACGCTCGGCCGTGCCTGAGCTCGGCTGCTCTGGATGATGTTCCGTAGCGTTTCGCCGCGATGCCCCATGACCTGAGGTCACGTCGCGTAGGAACTCCGAAGCACTGAGGATCGTCTTCGAACTAGTAGAACTCGCTGGCAGATCCACGACTGAGCAATAGCGTCCGAACGCTCCTAGTAGCGATGCCAGGAGCCCCTAGTAGCGTCCTTGCTCCTAAAAGTTCCAACATGTTTCAAAGGTTGAGGATGTGGCAGATCCAAAAAGCTCTGTTGGGACCAACACTCGAAGTCTCTCGCGGGCCTCACAAAGGGCCACCAACGGCTACAAATCAAGCTATTCCCGAACCCCAATCGATTGTCAAGTCCCCGTCAAGTTCCGTCAGTCTCAGGCATTCAAACGTGCACAAACAATCCAAAAACTGTCCCAACAAGAATTCAAAATTGTGTTCCTATGGAAGTTCCTGTGAAAGTTCCTATGGAATTATATGATTCTTTCCGGCCCCATGGTTGCGAGTTTGGAAATCGCAAGGCACGATTTACACTTGTTAATACCCGAATTCTGTTCTTTCCATCGTGCACAACTTTAGTTATTTAATGTTATTGGGACACTTGCAGGCTATTGGAATCAAGCAAACTCCCAATCAAAATAGAATTGCTGCGAGAGTGGAATGAGTCACAAGAGTGAAGACTTCGGCATGCTGTGACTTACGTCTTGCCGTCTTCCAGCTTACCTCTTCGCCCGAAGTGCTGAGGCCTCCTGTCGGTCCTGTCTGGAGGCCAAGTCTTCCAGCACCTTCACGCGAAGAAAGAGAAAAACTCTAGATTTATATGGATATAGTAATGTCATATAGAGAGTATTATATATATGTTTATCTACTTGCGTATGCATTTAATTTGTTTACCTTGGGGTCTGGGGTCAGGAAGCAACAAGGAAGCAGAGCACGGGTTCTTCACGTGATCACAGCTCTAAAGAATCAATTCCTCGCCATGTGGATCAAACATTCAACAAATCCATACCAAACTGCGAGAAGAATGCACATGCATGCTCTTTAGTGATAGATTCTGAATGCTTAAAAGCAAAAATAGCTTGGAATGAGTCCAAGCGAGACAACTCTTCTTGAACAATTTGTCTGCACCAAATCTGGCAGCTTACAAATAATATTCTTGCAAGTTGCAATCCGTGTTCTTTCGAATTCCAGACCTAAGGGCATCCTAAGGTCATAAAGCCTTGTAATTAAGATAGAAAGGTCCAAAGAAAGACCGGAAATGTCTATGGAATTCTTGTTTAATTGAATTCCGAGTAGAAAGAGATCGGATATTTGCCTCCACTGCACAACCTGAGGCAAGCGCCATCTGCACAACCTTCACTCTGGACTCAAGGGCTGCCGTGGAGATCTCCAGCACACGCTCTGAAGCATCAAATGGGGGTGAATCGGCATCCACCATATTCACCTGCCAAGACGCTATTAGGAGCAAAGGGCATCGCTACTAGGAGCAAGGAAGCTACTAGGGGCTCCTGGCCGTACTACTAGGAACAAGAAGTTATTAGAAACAAGAATTCAATAGAAAATATATTGAATTAGAATTAAAATTAGTAGCAAAGGAGGCTGCCAAAAAAAAGAACTGAATATGGAATCACCTCCAACCTAATAGCGATGGCCTCTACCCTAATAGCAATGGCCTCCAACCTAAGAGCGATGGCCTCAAACCTACTAGCGATGGCCTCCAACCAAATAGCAATGGCCGACAACCTACGAGCGATGGCTTTCAACAAAATAGCAATGGCCTCCAACCTACTAGCGATGGCCTCCACCCTAAGAAGTGTAGTATGTAGATCGTGAGATGTAGCAACATTTCAAAAGAATGACAATGGTGTCTGAAAACTGATACCTGAAAAGGACAAGGAAATCACTCAAGGGAAAGAATAGGAGTCCGTCACAAGAAGCAGGCGAATCGGTCTGAACCTTCGCCCAATCTCGCAACCGAGCAATCTTGTTGCCTTGCAAGGGCATCGCTAGTAGGAGCAAGAAGCTACTAGGGGCTCCTGGCCCTACTACTAGGAGCAAGAACGCTACTAGGGACTCCTGGCATCGCTACTAGGAACAAGAATGCTACTTTCTTCGGAACGGTGATTGGTTGCAGAGGTGTCTCTCTTACTTTCTTTCCTTTGGTCCGTGAAGCACCTCGCTTTCCAACGATCCATGCAGCATCATCCTTCGCAATCAACAATCGGATCGCAACCTGAGGAGAGACTGCAACAGGCCCGATTGGGGCGGAAATCGTTGACAAGTGAAAGCGTTGCGCAATCTTTAGACTTAACTGCCACTAGAATAGTTTTATCCAACATTGCGGTGAAGAAACAATCAAACAAACAAAGGTTTTGTCACAAGCGAAAGGCTAGTTGAGTCAGACCTAAGGCCTCAGAAAGCCGTCTCTATGTCTTCGTTGTTCTTTTATCTTGAACTTCTTATAATACTATGTTTCCGTGGTCTTTCCTAGACCCTTGGACCTTCGGTTCTTTTTTTCTATTGAAAGTAGTAATAATCTTGAAAGCACTTGTTGCCTCTTTCTGATCTCGTCGCTGGGGAGCTGTGAACATCATGCCTTGAAGCACAAACTGGACCCTAAAGGGTCGCATGAATGCTCTTTTTCCATGTAAGGCACTTGTTACTACTAGCGATACACTTGTTACTAATAGCTTCTTGTTACTACTAGTAAGGCTTCCATTCTTATTTCCTTTCTTTTTCACGTTTCTTTCGAAAAAATATCAGACCTTTAGACCTTTACCATCCTTTACCTTTCCGTCCGTCTTCCTTTTCCTTTCGTTCTTTATCTCTTTGAACCTGGCTAAGTTGGCTAAATGCGCCTGCAGCGCTTGTGGTTTCACGGAGGTCAAAATGCTCCGATTTCAGCACATTGCCTAACAAAACAAGGTCGCACTTACCGGCATCCTGTATGCCAACAGCCTTTGTGTCTTATGTCTTATGTTTCATCTCGTTCAGTTCAAATGAGCTGATCTTGGTGCATCTCATTGACGCTTTTGCCGAGCCTGCCATCAATTCACCAAGGACTTCCAGGACCCTGGCAGCCAGTGGCAAATTTTTGCACAAACGTCTAAACAGCAATAGAACAAAAGAAAATGAATCTATATAGAATCTAGACTGAGCAATGGCCTCCAACCTACTAGCGATGGCCTCCAACCTAAGAGCGATGACCTCCAGCCTAAAAAGAAAATGAATCTATAGACTAGAGAATCCTGCATTTGTGGCACCTCCAAATCGCGCCCGCCGCATCAGCAGCACTTGCTCCACTGATTCGAACTTTCTTCTGTTCGGCCAAACCAGACACCTGGTCCTGGCAGAATGGCATACCCCGATTCAAAGCACCTTGTCAAGTAGATAAGTGGACAAAAAAAAACATATCGAGAGAGAGAGAGAGACAAACAAGTAGTTCAGAATTCTTTACGTGCTCAGTGACAGCTTAGTTCCTTCATGATTAGCTGTGTTTGCAAATCCAACTCAGTCACACAGTCACGTTGACAGTGCCTGACCAACTCGGATGTCGCACTTGGTCTCCTGTGCTACACGCGCAACTGATTGTGCATATCACAACATGAATTGAAGGGGCCGTCGCTACTGGGTTGGAGGGTTGGAGGCCATCGATATTCGGTTGGAGGCCCTTGCTAGTAGGTTGGAGGCTTGAGAAGAAGAAGGGCTGAGGTTACTTTGCAGGGCCTGAGGTTAAAATACCTTGCTGCCAAGTGTTTCGTTTAGAGGTGTTTCAACAAACCGATCATGCGAGGGGCTCTTCAAGGAAGCTTGTGTCCCGCCCATTGTGGGGCAGAAGCTTCCTTGAAGAACGCATTGCATCTAGTAGCTTCCAAGTATCTAGTCATCTAGTAGTCTACTTGGCTAATGCCCAACTCCGCAGATCAATCATGTAATCATTAGAATAATGAGATGTAATCAGTAATCTGTATGTTTTTTTGGAATCATAACGCCA